CTTCTACACAGCTTACTGTGCCCAGAAAACTATTATTTCCAAACGGAAGCTTTCTGACCCCACTCTTCAGCATTGGAGGTCCATGATTTCTCATTTTTTCTCCAGAATGTCTGCTTTTATAAGGTATATAATGTGTAGGGGTCTTAACCAATCTTCAAGCCTAAAATTATGTTTGAAATATGTTTACAAACAAAAAGCGTGCAATACATTAACAAACGGAAGCTGAACTCCAGCTAATACCTTATAATCAGTTAAAGCAAAGTATGTTTTCCTTTTGGGATAAAGGTTTTACATAAATAAATTAAAACTGATGGAAGTGTTAAATGGTCTCATCCCTGTAACTGCAACTTTGAAAAACAACAGATTTACTTGCTGGATCACCAAGCAAAAGAAAAATGAAACTAATGCAGCCATCTCATCTAAGAACTGTTAAGCTGCAATATAATGAATATATGTGTTTGGGTTTAATACTGCTTTAAATTAATTCACTTTTTATTTCACTTAACTTTTTTAAACACTCTCATTTGGACTATTCTTTAAAAAAGGAAGTTACAAAATTGGCCTTAAACATGTTTAGTAAACCCCATTAAAGGTGATACCAGGTAAGTTGTATGGCTGATGATATTGAAAGCAATGGCAAAGCTGATAAAATCATGAACAAAAAAATCAATTTTTCCCATTTTGCAGGATATGTGTTCTAGCATGTACACAGGATCACAGTTTGTACAGCCTATAGGTAAATTAATAATTCATCTATTTCCCTGTCATCGTCAAGAAAGCTCGAAACAAGGTCACAAGATACAAATGAAGATTAGACTGACTAGTAAATCTATCTTTGTACATCATATACAGTATTTCATAACTTCTTTACCTTTCTTATAATGTAGTAGTTTACTATATGAAGAAAGAGCACTTTTAAAACGCCCTTTATCTACAATGAAATTATTTGCCTTGTAATGTTGCATAGGCAAGTGAAATGGAATTATACTGATGACATAAATATATTTATCTGTATGAACAATTCTGTTGGACACAACTCAACATGACGGCTTGTTATGTGGTCTGCTGGACAATAAAGTACATCTACTTGCTCAGAAAGACACAGCCTATAGATATAACACTGGCAGCGTGCAGTCATAAGATTTTGGTCTGTAAACAATCCAGCAGCCAAACTGGAACAGATATTTACAGATACCCAACAAGTCGTCAGCTTATTAGACTAAGATGCAATAATGAGTATAAAAGCCCTGACAATGACATTATAATATAAACACAGCAATGGCAATTCCCATATTTCTTATCCTTATTGGTGCTTATCTTAAATCTGAACTCCAGGCAAGCAGCTATATATACCACTGATATTTGTATTTCTGTCCATCCAGTCTTGAAGTACACAGTTCTGACAGCAAATCCAAGCTAACAGGTAAGGATTGAGCTGGGGGCCCACTGCCCCCTAAACCAATCCAAAATATATACATTGGGCTGGAGGCCTTGAGTTGAGAAACGTCCTAAATGCAGACTTCATTCAGAGAAGGACCTGCATCAGTGGCAGCTACAGAGCAATCTATAGCTCTTTGCTCACCATTAAGGCATGAAATCACCATCATTGACTTCCTTTGCAGATCTGAGATATTGTGTGAATAAAAGCAAAGTGCAAAGGGAGCTTTGTGTGTTGGTCTTTCTTAAGCCCCACCAAGAAAGGGACAATTGGTTGCATTTTCCTCCATGACCAACAGTTTCCAGTCCTCTTCTGCGGGTGAACAACCTGATCATTTTCTACTGCAGTTAGGCAGTGCAACCTTGTCAACTCCCTGCCCCTAGCCCGAATAGTTAAAGCCCAACTCCAGGGATTATTATGCCTTGCAGTGGAGCTGCACACACACTGTAAAGGTTAACTGCTCACGAAGTCTAGGGAAGAGTAGAAGTATTTTAACTTATCCGATCCTCCAATCCTGTTGCTCCAGTGGTGGACTGGTTCTCAGGCTCATTACCTCTAAAACAGGGCTATGGACCCCCCATTGGTCTTGATGATGTCAGAACTAGAGCATAAGGAAGAAGATGCTGCAAACACTGGTTTTACAGCGCAGAGAAGCAAAGGATGTTGCGAGGACCAGTTTAGCAACACAGAGGAGCAGAGGGTCAGGTAAATAGATTTTCTTTTCCTCACCTACTAACCCTAAACAAGCAAACCCTCACAGTCTGGGCACTTCCCCACTGCAAGGGATCATTTTTAAGTTTCCCAAAGTCGGGCTTTAAGGAGCATCAACACAATAATAGATCATCCATCTGCTCAATCTGATCTATCTTCTTGTCAGCAAAACTGATTGCCCTTTATAGCTGCCTCTTTCTTTCTCAGTCTGACTGCTGCTGTAAGGGAGATTACAGAATGCTGGCAAGGCAAATTGAATTACTGAGACTAGTTTTATTTAAACAAATAGTACATATTTTTAATGAATGCCTTCATGCATTAAATGGTGTTTTTTACATCTGCCTGGAAAATAAAATATAGGAGCTTACGAGCCTCCTTAGATCTATTCTTTTTTGAATGGATGTCTATTACAGGGAACCGTTTATCAGCAAAGTCTTTCCGCCAAACTCAGATATCATTTAAACGTCTGTTGTATTCACAGTTACAATATACAACACTTCCCTTTGATGTGGAATATCTATAATACATTGCACTCAGATACTGCTTCCAGAGAAAAAAATTTCAATTTACAAATTTATTACAAAAAACAAGACACAGATCATGGTTGCAGTTTAGCAAAAACTGATATGCCCATTTAAGGAGGATGGTAATAGTATCAGTCTTACCTGAGCGTTTTACGAATCATATCTTCATCTGTGATCCCATAATATGTTAGCGTTTCATTCCATGTGGGGTTAAGCGTATTCCTCAAGGTCTTTGTTCGTAATTTGTTTGCCTGAAAAAAGACCAAAGGGGTTCTGTTACAAAATAAGCTCAAATTTATTGTGATCTTCATCTTATCCTGTTTTAAAAATGATACATCCTCATAGGCCTCTTTTCTTGCACCACCTCTATGACACTGATATTTGTGGTTGCACATTTCCATGCTCCTTCTATACAATACTTTATATAGGCATTACTTCAATGTACAAAAATACTAATTAAATTGTATATTATATTAGCTAGAGATGTAAGTGACAGAAGAATTAATTTGTGTCTTACTTAGCAAACCGTCCATGTTTACCCAACCTTTCCCTTGTGTGTTATGTGTCCAGTCTACAATTCGTTTTGGATTAATTTGTTAATTTTTGTTTAGTCATATTTGTGATGTTAGAATGATTTGTTTTCAGAATTCTCTTCTTATATTCGGATTAATTTCGAATGTTCAAATTATTTTCATATATTCATAATGATTTCAAAAGATTGGCAATATTCGGGGTAATTTTGGGGGGTATTTATTTTTTTTTTTTTTTTTTTTTTTTTTTTTTTTCATTTTAACGGGGTAATTTGTTATTTCAGAAGATGATGCAGTATTAGTAATCCCTGCTAGTCCAACCCACAAACAGAAATGGAGTGAACTGACTGGACGATGTTGACTGGAGTCTTGTGTATTGGAAATTAACACATGCAAAATGATTTCTGAAAATTTGTTATAGTATGATTTGGAGATTCTGATGGATCCACCTCCATCTAACCCAAACACAATAGGTAGGAATCATCTTATTTCACTTTTATACCTTGCTGTATTTATTGCAATATGTTTCCATTTCATATGTAATGCATTTTTTATAATGTTAAAAAATGTTCATGCAAAAAAGAACTGGCTGATTATTAGAATATTCACACTACACTCACTAGAATAAAAATGAATAGATTCAAATCATTTTGGATCATTTGTTATGTCGTTACTTTTTTGGATCCTTCAAACATTACCAAATGCCTAAACTACTGGATCATGTCATCTTTTTTACATTTTTTTTTATTTTATATTTATTAAAATGTTCCTTTTCCATAACAAAAAATCCACATTATATCAACAATTCATAAATACATACATTCCACATAAATTTAACCCAATCCCATGTACCTCCCATCTTCATGCCTACCCCCCCTTACCCTCGTCCACGGTCCGAATTCCTTCCAAGACCTCCTATATTTTTCCATCTATGTCCACATCCTAATTCTTTTGCCACCTCGGTAAATCTTTAGACTCTTTAAACTTTTAAACTTTCCCAACTCTACTACTTTAAACTCCTACCCCTTCCCTATATCTTTTAGATAATTTAAAGTCGTGCCAATTACTCCACACTTCTCTAAAGTTTTCCATTTTATCCTCTTTCATATGATATAACTCCTCCATTCTATGTATGTATTCCACTCTCTTAATCCAATCCTTTATTTTAGGGGGCTCCTGGGCTAAGCAGAATTTGGGAATAAGACATTTGGCCGCACTAATTAAATGATATAATACACTGTTTTTTATATTGTTTCACAGAAATCTCAGTATTGTAAAATAAACAAGCCCACAGGTCCTTTTGTACAATCGTCCCCGATATCTCCTGTATAATGGATTATTTCCTGCCAGAACTTCTGAATTTTAGGGCATCCGCACCATATATGTGCCATTGTTCCCTTATTCCCACACCCTCTCCAACATAGTGGTGAAACATCAGCTCGTTGTTTATGTGCCACACTCGGGGTGATATACCATCTTGCTAAGCACTTGTAATTCATTTCAACCATGTTCATATTTATCACCTCGTGTGTTAATTTAAATATCTTATTTTTTTGTAGCTCATTCAATTTTGTTCCCAGCTCCTTTTCCCATTTCTTTAAGAACGGTGGAGGATCAGAACCCTCCAGTTCAACAGTTTTTGTTATAATTTATTTTGGATCAGTTGAAAATCGTTATTATTGTGATTTGGAGATTCAGATACATCCAAATCTTCAAATAACAAAATTTTTGCCTGAATTTTGATTCGTAATGAAACGAATCACACATGTCCAGGGGCGGACTGACAACTCATGGTGCCCTCAGGCAATAGGGGATCATGGGGCCCCTGTGTCCTTGCCTAAACTCAAAAAAGCCTATGAAAAAGGTAAGAGGGGCATCTCATGGGGCCCCCTACTGACCCCGGGCCCTCGGGCAGTGCCCGGGTTTCCAAATGGTCAGTCCGCCCCTGCACATGTCTAATATTAGCACAGAAAAAATAGATAAGATCAGTGATAAAGCAGGTGACACCTTAAATCCAGGTGTCTATTGCTCTTCTACAATTTAGGTCTAAATTTGAATACTTATTAAATAAACTAATGGAACTGACACCACATTGTATGATCAGTGACACCACATTGTATGATCATTGTATGATCAGTAATAGCAGGATGTAAATTATATTGCAGGTGTGATATTCTTAAGGATACATTAAACTCTTGTCTTTTAATTGCCAGTATTTTAAAAGCATACCGTATATGGAATCATTTTCACATTTAAATAAAATATACTCTTTATTCAATATGCAGTGTTACATCCCTTCCATAGCCAAAAGGCAGAAAGTAAGGAACAATAAAATGTTCAGTACATCTCAATATGATTAATTAAAACTCACACAATTCCTCAGACACCAGGACATTAATGACATTTTACTTTGTCAGAGCTTTGTCAAGACGTTCAATGAAAATAATACAACCCTACCTAATTATTAGATGTAGATAGTGATATTATTCTACCTGTTTGGCATACAGGAAAAAAAAGAATATATATATATATATATATATATATATATATATATATATATACACACAGTATATATGAATGTCATTCGTGTGTAACTTAATGTAAGATACTTGATTGTGAATTGAATGTGGCAATGAACCTAATTATAATCATAACAATTATTGTTGTTTTTGTAAAAAAAAGTGTGATTTGCATATAATGAGTATGTTGGCCTTTTTTCCTCCTTGGTGATCCTTGGTCATTGTAGAAAAAAGGCCTTTTATGTTTACTAAATCTGATTTTGGTTGACAGGAGATGAGTTGAGAATGAGTTGTTAAAATGTATGCATGTGCTTTTAGGTGTGCATGTGTGTTGGAAGAGGGGACTATGGCTCTATAAAAAAAGAAGATGGTGCTGGAAAGCTAACATGTGTAAGAAACTTCATCGGGACAAAATAGCATTTCAGGAGTATAAGTTGTTGTTTCACTACAGCAGTCCTTGGGATGTTACCATTCAGAGAGTGTAACTTTGTAAGTATCAGTAAAAACTTAGACAGCTTTTTCAACATGATCTACTGAAAGTGTTATTTACTCTGGGAAACTATTATAAACATTCTGTAGTCCCCATAATTAAAGTAAAGCTAACCTCTCACAACAGAATTCTTAGTTTTGTAGAGCACAAAACACAGGAAACTTTTTTTTTTTTTTTTTTTTAAGTCAGTATTCCCTTTGCTTTGTTCATGCCCCCCCCCCCCCCCAAACTATGCACACACTGTATATTCTTAATATGAATTTGCTTTGAACATTTGCACAGTCCAGTAGCAGCTGAATGGCACAAGTTTACTGTGGTGACTACAACAGTACGTGACAATGCTCTGTGCATTGGCTCAGCTTCCTGTAGTCCTACACAGTGACAGCGTTACAGTCAAACTGAGGAGGCACCACCCAAGAAAAGCAGGACTACTGGGTATGATTTAAGATATTTTATATATTGCACCACAGGTAAACAGCTTTTTTAGCATGATTTACTGAAAACTTACCCTTTGGAAATCCACTACATTATTTAGAACCATGAATTCTGCTCCCACATATTAAAAATTAAAAAAAGGAAATGGCCAAGCACCACTTATATTCCACATTCCAGAACTGTCTCATTCTTCTGCCATTATCCTCCAGGTTGATTGTTGGTCAGGGTTCGGGTATACATATAGCTGGAAGTCTACTTTAAATGTTTTGTTTTATATAAACTTTAGGTCATACATTTTTGTTTTATATGACCTGTGAAAACCTTAGTGGCTGGTATTATTTCACAATGAACAGTGTAAAACAGGGTTCTCCAACCGGGCTTCCATGGAACTCTAGGTTTCCTCTATGATTGTGCCATTATGATTGTGATTTCTGCCTCTCAGATGAGTAACCACTGACACCATTGAACTTTTTAGATATCTCTAAGATGGAAATTCTTCCTAATGACCACAAGTGTAAGGAACATTCTTCCCACTTACCACCACACTAAAGTACTATGAGCTGTAAATATAATAATTATTAGCAAGGGTTCATTGAAGCTAAAAAGTTATTTCAAGGGTTCCGACATGTTGAAAAGGTTGAGAAAAGCTGATGTACGAGATGTGTCCAGAATATAAAGAGAATGAAGTTCCTAGGCACCAGAAGAGCTCTGTAAAGGGAGAAGCTGGCCAAGGTCACTTGGGGTGGGATGCCATGTATACATTAGAACACTGATCATTTGCGTTCCAGCCCTGTCAGAGTTGAGACACTTTTTTTGTGACACACCCTGCTCAAGTGCCTCATATTAAGAAAAATGCAAGTACGTTTGGCACAGTGGTACGTGATATAGTTTTACGTGACTTTGGGTAAAAGTGCCTCAGGAACTTTGGAAATTGTGAGGAAAGCTTATGAAGAAGCTTCACTATCATCTGCACAAGTGTACTGATGGCACAAGGCCTTCAAGAAGCACCAGAAGGTGTTGGATACAAACAACGATCAGGGTGCCCCTCTTTGTCAAAAGCAGAACAGAATGTGGATGCAGTGAGGTATGTTCTCACTATCAGAATGATTGCATAGGAAACAGGAATTACAAAATTTTCCATGAAATCCTGACTCAGGATTTAAACATGAGGATTTTAACATGAGAAAAGTATGTGCAAAACTTGTTCCAAAAGACTTGTCACTTGATCATTAAGAACACCATCAACTCGTTTGCTAAGAATGTCATCCCACTTGAAGACTTCCAGGGATGCTATGAAGAATGGAAAAATTGTTGTGTACACTCACAAGGGGCATACTTTGAAGGGGACATTGTTCAATTGTAACATGTTTCAATGAAAGAATTTTTTAAATATAATTCTCATTACTTTCTGGACACACCTCACAGAACTTATTGTTACTGTTTTAGCAATGCTGTGTTATGCTAGTTTATATTGTTAATTGCTAAATAAGAGAGGTGGGTTAGGGTGCAAGTAAGAAGAAAATATCATTATAATGCAGATAACCCACATGCCATGCAAATATTACATATTGCATATTAAAAGAACAACATCAGTGTATATAACAATAAAATCACTCCCTAAACTGATACTATTGTTAAAGAATGGCACTGTGATATAACAAGGTAACTTGAATTTTGAAAATGTGTCAACGCCAGATTGTTACAAAAACATACCTGCTATTATCTCATCAAGTTCCAAGTTGTCAGACTTGTAAGTTAAACAGTCAGTGACTGCAGTGTTTATTATTTTTCCGTTGATGAGCTTACTTTGTGTGTATTAAACAATCAGTGATTGCAGCAATCATTATTTTTACATTAATGAGTTTACGTCATGTGTTAGTTGAAAGCTTTATAGCACAATACATGTTTAAAGTGGTGCAGGGGATGTTGTGGACAACACATGCTGTCTTCAGCTACCATCTTTGTAATGTATCAAACAGGACGATAACCAGAAGGGGACTCCTACGCAGACTCAAAACTTCAAAACCTTCATATTAGCTGTAAAAGGCAAGAGACCACAAAAATGTAAGTGCCTTATGCCATTTGAGATATAAAAAAACATTTAGATGAGTTATCTTTAACCCTTTGGTTACCAGCACTGTTTTTTGCATTTTTTTTGCACCCATGTTTAAAAAATAAGTTAAGGCCTGAAGATTACATAAAACTCCAAAACATTCTATATTTTCTAAAAGTAGACACCCTAAAAAATAAAATAGTGGTAGTTCCAATTTTTTATGTCACATAATATTAGAGCAAAGGTTTAGGAAACGCAAGATTTCAGTAAAAAAATTATTTGTTAATTTTAGGGCACATAAGCACAATAAATTACCGACTTTAGTAAAGTATAAAAGATGAGATTGCACTGAGTGTATATATACCCAACAAGCCAAACCAGAAAATTGTGTGCATCCATGAAACAGTGACAAACTTCAGTACCCTATATTTTCCAAAGTGTATATATATTTTCCAAGTTTAAAAGCCCCTACAGGTAATTGTTTTTGAATGACCTGTTAATAACAGGATAAAATATTTTATCTCATTCCGGAATGTGTGGCGATATGGAACATATGTAGCAGAATCAACGGTTTCATGTGTATGTGCCCCCAATGTGTGCAATTATATTCGTACATGCATGTACAGGTGAAACTCAAAAAATTAAAATATCGTGCAAAAGTTCATTTATTTCAGTAATGCAACTTAAAAGGTGAAACTAATATATGAGAAAGACTCATTACATGCAAAGCAAGATAGTTCAAGCCGTGATTTGTCATAATTGTGATAATTATGGCTTACAGCTCATGAAAACCCCAAATCCACAATCTCAGTAAATTAGAATATTCTATGTACAATCCTTGTTTTATTGATTACATGTAACAATATCGGACCTCTGAAAAGTATAAGCATGCATATGTACTCAGTACTTGGTTTGGGCCCCTTTTGCAGCAATTACTGCCACAATGCGGCGTGGCATGGAAGCTATCAGCCTGTGGAACTGCTGAGGTGTTATGGAAGACCAGGATGCTTCAATAGCGGCCTTCAGCTCTTCTGCATTGTTCGGTCTCATGTCTCTCATCTTTCTCTTGGCAATGCCCCATAGATACTCTATGGGGTTCAGGTCAGGTGAGTTTGCTGGTCAACTAAGCACAGTAATCCCATGGTCATTGAACCAGGTTTTGGTGCTTTTGGTAGTGTCGGCAGGTGCCAAGTCCTGCTAGAAAACGAAGTCAGCATCCCCATAAAGCTCGTCTGCAGAAGGAAGCATGAAGTGCTCCAAAATCTCCTGGTAGACAGCTGCGTTGACCCTGAACTTAATGAAGCACAGTGGACCAACACCAGCAGATGACATGGCTCCGCAAATCAACACAGACTGTGGAAACTTCACACTGGACATCAAGCATCTTGCAGTGTGTGCCTCTCCATTTTTCCTCCATACTCTGGGTCCTTGGTTTCCAAATGAGGTGCAAAAGTTGCTCTCATCAGAAAAGAGGACTTTACACCATTGAGCAACAGACCAGGTCTGTTTTTCTTTAGACCAGGTAAGATGCTTCTGATGTTGTTTGTTGTTCAGGAGCGGCTTGACAAGAGGAATACGACATTTGATGCCCATGTCCAGGATCCGTCTGTGTGTGGTGGCTCTTGATGCACTGACTCCAGCCTCAGTCCACTCCTTGTGAAAGTCCCCAACACTTTTGAATGGCCTTTTCCTGACAAGCCTCTCCAGGCTGCGGTCATCTCTGCTGCTTGTGTACCTTTCTCTTCCACATTTTTCCCTTCCACATAACTTTCTATTAATGTGCTTTGATACAGCACTTTGGGAACATCCAACTTCTTTTGCAATTACCTTTTGAGGCTTTCCCTCCTATGGAGGGGGTGTCAATGATGGTTTTCTGCACAGCTGTCAGGTCAGCAGTCTTTCCCATGATTGTGATTCCTACTGAACCAGACTGAGAGACCATTTAAAGGCTCAGGAACCCTTTGCAAGTGTTATGGCGTAATTAGTTGATTAGAGTGGGAGACTTTCAGCCTAGCATATTGCACCTTTTCACAATATTATAATTTGCTGAGATTGTGGATTTGGGGTTTTCATGAGCTGTAATCCATAATCATCACAATTATGACAAATCACGGCTTGAGCTATCTTGCTTTGCATGTAATGAGTCTATCTCATATATTAGTTTCACCTTTTAAGTTGCATTACTGAAATAAATTAACTTTTGCACGATATTCTAATTTTTCGAGTTTCACCTGTATATAGTGGTAGGGGAGGCTCAGAACATTGTGGGGGGGGGGGGGGGGATTTTAAGTGCTTGGGTGTAACTTTAATTTGTTACACTTTTTTGAACATTTTGGTTCATAAAACCTTTTTTTGTCGTCACGTAAGGGACAAAAAGATGATTTTTAGCTGACAGGTTCTTTTTACTGAGATATCAGGAGGCCAAAAAAACTGTTATGTCTCACTTGTCCTCCAATGAATCTAATGGAGTGCATATTGAACTTAATGAAATCTCCCTCCCCTTTACCTGGTAGCATCCAGCATGTTCGTCTCGCATCCGACCAGAATAACATCATGTGAAAAATAAGGTGTATCCCATGAAAGTTATTGACTTTGTACAGTTAAACAATAGACCTTTATTCAAACAGTGTCCACAAATAAAGCTGATATATTTAAAGCAGACTTCCACCCAAAGGGTAAATTCAGCTTTAAGGACTGGTCCCCGCTCTCTCCCTGTGAGGAATTGACACCTTTGGGGGGGTGGTACCCGAGTTTGACAGGTACCCACTCCCACATCTGCTCCAACTGTCTAGGCGATCAATATCGGACATTGTCCTGCCCCCTCCCTCCCTGCTGTCTTCTGGGACATGTGACAGGTCCCAGATGACTATGGGACCATTCACAATGCACAGCGCTGCTCATCCATGCTCAGTGGGCACCCGGCTGTGAAGCCGCAAGCGGTCACAACACTTAAGATACCGGCGGCGAGAGGATGGCCGGTAAACCTGGCTGATGTGCACATAACGCTGATTCATAGGACAGGTGGAGATCCACTTTAAATAGAAACACAAATAATATGCCTTTCAATCATTTAATATTATATAGGCATTTTATATAACTGTCAACCTGTATTTGACACCATGACATTTTTGGTGACTTCTCTAAATTCCTTTATTAAGATGTTTGTGGGTTTCCTCGCATAAATTACCTGTTACAAAATTCCACTACAAAATTTTAACAGGAATCAAAACAAAGCATTCAGAATGCCAGTTCATAACCCCCTATTTATTCTTTTTGTGCCTCTCTTTCTGCAAGTGTGCTTCAGATCATTATCATGTTTAAAGATTAATTTCCATTTCAGCTTAAACTTTTAGACAGATGGCCTTACATTGTCATCAAACACACTTTGGAACTATGCAGAACATACAGTTAACCTCCCTAGCGGTCTGATTATGTCCATATATCTGTGCTCAAAGCGGTATATTTTTTTGCATGGAAATATGTATTTTTTTTATTGTAGGCCTGTAATTTTTAGGAATAACTCACTGAAATCTGTCCGGACAAGAGTCTAGTAAACATCCCGAGTAGGATAAAACTGTAAACACGAAATCATAAATTATAAAAATAATAATATAATAATAATAAATTTAATTCAATAATATAATCAAACCAAAAACACTGAAATTTGAAATATAGCGCCAAGTTTGCACATCACTGAGCAAAGTCGCAAAATCTTTTTCAGTGTCTGATGACGAATTTCCCCACAAATCATTATCACTCAATTCTGCAAGTGGTTCTGATTTACTATCGCTGTTCTCTAGCTAGTCTAAAACCGCTTTTGACCTAAGGGGATGCTTTTCGGACACCATGGACGTTTCTCAGTTTCCAGGCAGAAAGAACAGTAAAAATGCAGGCAGGGCACAGGACAAAGCACTAGGGACAAAATGTATGTGAAATGGTTTGATACAGTAATGTTTTACTATGTGATTTTAGTGATTTTAGTGAATGTCACTTTTACAACTTTCAAATTTCCCGCCGTTCCATCCCCCGTATGTCCCGGGGACGGAACCCAGATGGGAGATGCCAGCATCCGCCGGATTACATTGTCGGGGACACTGCAGGAGGGACATCGCGAAAGCGCAGGACAAAGTAAGTGATTGAGGGATCCCGAAGCAGAGCCACATGGTAAGCCCGAGTGTAGCTCGGGGTTACCGCTTGTGGTACTGAAACTTTACCCCGAGCTACACTCGGGAATACCGCCAGGGAGCTTAAATGATAACTGCAAGCTTTACAGGCCCTGGAGCAGCAAAGCAAACCCAAATGATAATATCTCCACCACCATGCTTCATAGTTGTTACAGAATCTTCTGTTCTGGAATGCTGTCTTTGGAGTTTGGCAAACATGTCTACTGTTATTGTGACCAAAACACTCTATCTATCAGGGATGTTGGATTCCTATCGCCCGATGCCCAGGACATGTAGTTACAGGCGCCAGGGGAAAGTCGTTTCTTTCTACCTTCAGCCCTGCTGCGGGCAAGCAGCAGGGCTCACCTGTCAGGTGAAGCAATTGGTCTGCAGCGCTGCCACTGATTGCTTCACACAGTGCCAGCCTCTTTGCGCCCCCGGCCTGTGGTCTCCCGAGATTCGCTTGCCCATCTCTGGGCCCGACTCACCATTGGCTAGAGGGAGGGAGAAGAGCGGACAAGTCCGCTGCCCTCCCCTTCTTGTGCTCACCCGGAAGTGACGTTACGATGTCACTTCCGGGTCCCCGCTGCGAGATTGTAATGCAATCCCCGGGAAAGAATGTAATATGGTGCAATGTGCACCACATTACATTCAGTGGAGCAGAGGGGAGACATCCAGGGTCTTTTAGACCTTGGATGTCTCAAAGAGAACTTGTCACCAAAAATCATCACATAGGGGACTTTGTCCCCGATGTGATGACAAGAAAAAAAAATGATTTTATTTTTTTTTATTGTAAAAAATGAAAGCTACACCAAAGCACATACCCCCCCCCCAAAAATAAATATTGAGGCCCCCGCCCCCACATATACGCACATACAAATGCCTGAAAATTAACTTACGTGTATTTTTTACTGAAATTTTTTAACAATTTCATTGTTAAAAGGTATCACTCAGCAGAAGGGTACAAAAGAATTTCCAAGACATTAGATATACCATGGAACACAGTGAAGACAGTCATCATCATGTGAAGAAAATATGACGCAACAGTGACATTACCAAGAACTGGATGTCCCTCCAAAATTGATGAAAAGACGAGAAAAAAAACGGGTCTGGGAGGCTTCCAAGAGGCCTACAGCAACATTAAAGGAGCTTCAGGAATATCTGGCAAGTACTGGTTGTATGCTACATGTGACAACAATCTCCAGTATTCTTCATATGTCTTGGCTATGGGGTAGAGTGGCAAGATGTAAGCCTTTTCTTATGAAGAAAAACATCCAAGCCTAGCTAAATTTAGCAAAAACACATCTGAAGTCTCCCAAAAGCATGTGGAAAAATGTGTTATGGTCTGATGAAACCAAGGTTTAACTTTTTGGCCATAATTCCAAAAGATATGTTTGGCACAAAAACAACATCGTACATCACCAAAAGAACACCATACCCACAGTGAAGCATGGTGGTGGCAGCATCATTCTTTGGGGCTGTTTTTCTTCAGCTGGAACTGGGGCCTTAGTCAAGGTAGAGGGAATTAGGAACAGTTCCAAATACCAGTCAATATTGACACAAAACCTTCAGGCTTCTGCTAGAAAGCTGAACATGAAGAGGAACTCCATCTTTCAGCATGACAATGACCCAAAACATACATCCAAATCAACAAAGGAATGGCTTCACCAGAAAAAGATTAAAGTTTTGGAATGGCCCAGCCAGAGCTGTGACCTGAATCCGATTGAAAATCTGTGGGATGATCTGAAGAGGGCTGTGCACAGGAGATACCCTCACAATCTGACAAATTTGGAGTGTTTTTGCAAGGAAGAGTGGGAAAATATTGCCAAGTCAAGATGTGCCACGCTGATAGACTCGTACCCAAAAAGACTGAGTGCTGGAATAAAATCAAAAGGTGCTTCAACAAAGTATTAGTTTAAGGGTGTGCACACTTATGCAACCATATTATTTTTGTTTTTTATTTTTACTTCCCTCCCCCTAAAAGATTTCAGTTTGTTGTTCAACTGAGTTGTACAGTTTATAGGTTACATTAAAGGTGGAAAAAGTTCTGAAATTATTTATCTTTGTCTAATTTTTTTTACATCACAGAAACCTGACATTTTAACAGGGGTGTGTAGACTTTTTATATCCATTGTATGTGTGGATTGCATAGGTTGTTACCGACATGTGGTGAAAATTTCATGTCAATAGCACCTTTAGAAATATATTTACCGAGAAAAATGGTGACGTGTTTGATACTTATTTTAGCTGCTGTATACACGGTATATATTGTGCATGTATAGATCTTTTTTTAGAAATATCTTCCAGATACTAAAGATATGAAGTGCTTTGGCCAGAAAATGTACACAAGTTTTTTTATATCACACATTCTGTAAAACAATTTTACAGGGCAGAGAATTGCGTTTAAGGAACGGACAAACAAGATATATAACTTCATTATGGTTGTTAAATCTTAGCACTTAGACATCACCAATTTATAACATTGTCTTATATTCACTAAAAAAGTAAACAACTGAGGCACGCTTTAGTAGAAGAACACATTCTGTGCAGTGACAGGTAATCAATTTGAGTTTGTTTTGCTACATTTGGGAATTAATAATTTTATAAAGTGTAGTTATATGTTTTTACCGTAGGGTTTGATTGGCTAAGATAATAAGAAAAGGAGAGTAAGACAAATACTTGTTCAAATGATAAAATGTTTTATACTGGAAAAAGCTCATTTGAGACACTTTAGAATGAAAACGTTTTATGCCAGAAAAGGTTAATTTGTGAAGCGCTGAATGAAGAACCAAATACAAAAAAGTTAAATCACAGTTGACTACACACGGAACTACCACTAAACTGCCCATCAAATTAAAACAATGTTCTTTTAAAGTGAGGAGCTTAGCCTAAAATTTCTAAATACTGCCAACAATTTTCTTCTAATACAAACAGGAAAGCTACTATTGCAAAATGGAAACTGAGTTGACCATTTTTAACTTTGGTCCAGAATTGCTTAGCTATTACAATTTGAGGAAATAGGAGAAAAAACAAGATTAAAAGTAAAATTTATGCCAAAGGAATTAAATGCATGGATACATTATAGATAGGGCTAGTAACTATTTATCTTATTTTCTCAAAGAAGCAAGTGCATCGGTACTTCCTAAAAAGATGTTTAATTTTCTCATTTTGTTTAGGGATTGTTTTGATTCAAATAATATTAATATTAAAATTGCTAACAAGTGTTGTTTGCAATGGAATGTATGCCAGTGTTCGAAACATCTGCCAACTAAGCCTTTGGATGCTGAAAATAAAAATGTTTTTTCATCTAATATTTTGGGTCTATCTAACTGCTGTTAGCACTTTTACATGTTGGAATAAAAGTAGGCATGACTATCATAAATATCATGACTATTAAATGCACTAAAATAACCTGCAGCAAACTAGGGCCGCATTTTATACATTGAATATCAGTGTATGATCAGCAAGATATGTTCAGGGATCACAGTGTTAGTGGACAATCACACATGGGAGCTTGCTATCCAATGCTGCGGTGAATGGTAGCCAATCAGTTTTGAATTTCAGCTTGTTCAATTAAAGTGTTACTAACCCACAACAGAAAAATCAGTCACCCACTGTGGAACCTAAGGGATTAATCGTCTGCATTGTGTAAAAAGGCTGTTTGATCCTGACTTCTCTGTCCCTCCTCTTGTTCAAATGTCCACGCTGATAAGACAGACTGAACCTGTAGCCCTTCTGCACATGCTCAGTTTGGTGTATATTGCTAGAGAGGTATTTTTGCTTGAAAGAGTGCATGTGATCAGCACAGGCCAATCAGCACTGTCCAGACAGAGGTCAGAGGTTTCACATCCTCCTAGAGCAGAAAGAAAACCCCTCCTACAAGCTGTAACCAGTGCTCTGCTGAAGTCACAAGACTGCTCTAAGTGCTGATGAGAAAAGGTATTTAGCTGTTTACATTTACTAAAATAATTGCATTTCCATTTTCTGTGTACTGTGGGAGACCAGATATAGTGAATACAGGGTCCTGGGTTTAGAAACACTTTAAAGTTTAAAAATAAAACCTGAAGGCTGATTGGTTTCTATGTAGAGCTGCACCAGACATTGCTCTCTCCAGTTTTAGTAAATAAACCCTAATGCATTATCCTGTAGGGCAGATATTTAACAGACAATCTGAGTAAATTCAGTGGAACACAGAGCTTTTATAGTGGTTATTTTTCACATTTATACTTTTAATAAATTACAAAATGCAAGTCTAAATGTTACACCAAAAATGTTTTAATTTTACACTGTAATAATACAAAGTCATCTCTGGCAGTATGTCATCTCTGAAAATAAATATTTTCCTTTAGTTTTTTTAAGCTATACAGTACTAGGATTTAGACACATTTCTAGACACTCCATACCATAAGCTTGTCACACTTTAATGGCTTGATTTAAGAAGTTAAAAATCTTCATGCAATAAAATGAGGCTGATTTACAAAAGGAGTTGAAAATCTTTAACCCCCTGCCGCCTCCCAGACCTTTAAGAGATTCTAAATGCCAGGAGGTTGAAGTGAGCATTCTGATTATGTGACCTCTGCGATTGTCACAGCGATCACATAACTAGAAAGCTCCCGATCGCAAATATGTATTGGAAGCTTTCTGCCTGTAACTGTGCTGGTACCATGCAGGGTGCACACTCTCAGTACAGAAAGATGTATATATAGGGCCACAGATATGCTGCCTCTTGGCATTAAAGCCCACACACTGAGAGGCCACATATATGCGTACAGCCAATGGGAAGAGGTTAAACAGGCATTTGTATGACCATTGATCAATTGTCCAAATATGAGAGACGCAAATTCATGTTTACTTATTTCACCGGCACATGACTGGATATTTTAAGTGACTATTCACATCATCGTTCAGTAAAGATTGACAACTTAACTAATCAAGCGAAAAGCTAATTTTCAGTTCTGTCCTGAAACAAATAGGAATTTAAATGAATAATGGAGGAAATAAACAAACATGAAGACATGTGGCATAAACAAAATACTGAAATAAGTGAAAATACTAAATATTATCATTATATACTTTTACCACATATA